CGGTAATTGTAGCTGTTGATGTAGCTGATGCTGTATCTGTTGCTGCAGCTCTTGTTGTTGATGTAGTTGTTGCTGTAACTGTTGCTATTGCCATAGCTGTTGCTGCAGTATTTACTGTAGTTTTGCTGTAGCTGTTACTGCAGAAGTTACTGTAGCTGAGTTGTAGCTGTTGTTATAGCTGTTTCTGTAGCTGTGTGGAAGCTGTAGCTGTTGGTTTACCTGTAGCTGGAACTGTTGTAGCTGTGGCTGTTGCTGTAGTTGGCTGTTCTGGTTGCTGCACCACCAGACGGAGGCTCAATGTAACTGCAGTTTAAGGTGTTCTCTATGTCATGGTGTGCAACTGAAAGGAAAATCACCTTCATAATCAGTCAGTCAACACGCACAACAGACCCCCATCCCTAACAGACCCCCACTTAAAACAGGCTGCACCCCCCCTCGCAACAGCCTCCTGCCACACAACAGATGCCCCTCCTCCATACAGACCCCCACTGCCACCCCCCAACCCAGGAATGATTGCCGCTCAAAGCAGACACCTGCTGCCCTCACAGAGAGAGTAGAGCAGTCACACCAGCAGCTGGGACTTGATCATCTGGATATCAGCCATTTTTTTAGTATCAATGTCAGAAGGCAGATGTGCGCCACTGGTGTGTGTTGAAACAAACCCTCTCATACTCAACTGAGAGGCTGCTGTGATGGGGTTGCCCTGTGGTAATTAAGATAAGCTAAATTACAATGTCCTTTAGCCAGTGATGTCCTCTGTCCTAATATGATGATGTGCTGCTGGTGTAAAGCCATTGCCAGTGACTGCCAATGAGTGCCAGTGACTGCCAATGATTGCCAGTGAGTGCCAGTGACTGCCAATGATTGCCAGTGAGTGCCAGTGACTGCCAATGATTGCCAGTGAGTGCCAGTGACTGCCAATGACTGCCAGTGAGTGCCAGTGACTGCCAATGATTGCCAGTGAGTGCCAGTGACTGCCAATGACTGCCATTGAGTGCCAGTGACTGCCAATGACTGCCAGTGAGTGCCAGTGACTGCCAATGATTGCCAGTGAGTGCCAGTGACTGCCAATGACTGCCAGTGAGGGCCAGTGACTGCCAATGACTGCCAGTGAGTGCCAGTGACTGCCAGTCAAACCAGGCTGCACCGTACATAAAACACATCCCAAGGTCAGAACTAAGGAACATTATGAAAATTTGCTGATAACAACTAATCGGAGGGAATGGCAAATTGTGACGAGGATTGTGAAAGGCCATGGATAGAGGACACAGAGACTTCCAGGGTGGACGGGCAGATGGCAGGTATAGTTCAATATAAAAATGTGCAGTGATATATTTTGGCAGCAACAACAGGGAAAATAAACAAACCTTAAACGATTGGATTTTAAATGAAGAAACGGAACCTTAGTGAGCAGCAGTCACAGCACTGAAGGGCATTTTACCAGAAGCTGAGCAGTTACTGGGACGGATGGTACAACCAGACTGTGTGGAGCTGTACACTGTGTGGGGCTGTACACTGTGTGGGGCTGTACACTGTGTGGGGCTGTACACTGTGTGGGGCTGTACACTGTGTGGGGCTGTACACTGTGTGGGGCTGTACACTGTGTGGGGCTGTACACTGTGTGGGGCTGTACACTGTGTGGGGCTGTACACTGTGTGGGGCTGTACACTGTGTGGAGCTGTACACTGTGTGGGGCTGTACACTGTGTGGGGCTGTACACTGTGTGGAGCTGTACACTGTGTGGGTGCAGTTCTCTCTGTGTGCGTTTGTGTGTGTGAGTGAGTATGTGTTTGTGTGTGTGAGTGTGTGTTTGTGTGTGTGAGTGCGTGTGAGTGTGTGAGTGTGTATGTGTGTAAGTGTGTTAGCGTGAAGGTGTTACCCAGCGCCTTGGGATGTCCTCCCGACGTGAAAGGCGCTCTATAAATGCAATCTTGTTGTTGTTGTTGTCAGTGTGTTAGCATGAGTGTGTGTGAGTGTGTTTGTGTGAGTGTGTGTTTGTGACTGTGTGTGAGTATGTCTATGTTTGTGTGAATGTGTGTGTGTGAGTGTGTGTACGTGTGAGTGTTTGTGTGTGAGTGTGTGAGAGTGTGTGTGACGTTGTGCATGTGAGTGTGTGTGTGTGAGAGAGTGTATGTTTGAGTGTGTGTGAGTGTGTGTGTGTTTGACTGTGTGTGAGTGAATGTGAGTGTATGTGTGTGAGTGTGTCTTTGAGTGCTTGTTAGTGTGAGTGTGTGCGTGTGTGTGACTGTGTGTGTGTAAGGGTGTGTGAGTGTGTATTTGTGTGTGAATGTGTGTGTGAATATGTTTGAGTGTTTGTTAGTGTGAATGTGTGTGAGTGTGTGTGACTGTGTGTGTGAATGTGTGTCTGACTGCATGAGTGTGTGTGTGAGTTTGTGTGTTTGAGTGTTGTGAGTGAGTGTACACTGTGTGTGTTTGTGAGTGTGTGTGTGTGAGAGGGTGTGTGAGTGTGTATTTGTGTGTGAATGTGTGTGTGAATATGTTTGAGTGTTTGTTAGTGTGAGTGTGAGGGTGTGTGAGTGTGTATTTGTGTGTGAATGTGTGTGTGACACTGTGTGTGTTTGAGTGCTGTGAGTGTGTGTGACTTTGTGCATGTGAGTGTGTGTGTGAGAGTGTGGGTGTTTGAGTGTGTGTGAGTGTGTGTGTGTGTTTGACTGTGTGTGAGTGAATGTGAGTGTGTGTGTGAGTGTGTGTGTGAATATTTGTGTGAGTGTGTGTGTGAGTGTGTCTTTATGTGCTTGTTAGTGTGAGTGTGCGCGTGTGTGTGACTGTGTGTGTGTGTGTGAGTGTATGTGTGAGTTTGTGTGTGAATGTGTGTGTGAGCGTGTATTTGAGTGTTTGTTAGTGTGTGTGTGTATGTGTGTGTGTGTGTCACAGTCATCACTGTCATCATCATCACCATCATCATCACCGTCATCATCATCACCATCATTATCATCATCACCTTCATCACCATCATCATCATCATCAACACCATCACCATAATTACCATCACCATCATCACCATCGTCATCATCATCATCACCATCATCAACATTACCATCATCACCATCATTACCATCGCCATCATCATCATCAACACCATCATCACCATCATCATCACCATCATCAACATCATCATCAGTATAACCACCACCATCATCATCGCCATCATTATCGTTACCATCATCATCATCATCACCATCATCGTCATCATCACATCACCATCATCATCATCATCACCATCATAACCAGCACCAACATCATCATCACCATCATCACCATCGCCATCATCATCATTACCATCATCAACATCATCATCAGTATAACCACCACCATCATCATCATCATCATTATCGTTACCATCATCATCATCATCACCATCATCGTCATCATCACCATCACCATCATCATCACCAACATCATCACCATCATCACCATCGCCATCATCATCATCATCATCACCATCATCACCATCATAATCACCATCATCATCACCATCATCAACATCATCATCAGTATAACGACCACCATCATCATCACCATCATTATCGTTACCATCATCATCATCACCACCATCATCGTCATCATCACCATCATCATCACCATGATCATCATCACCATCATCACCAGCACCAACATCATCATCACCATCATCATCACCATCACAGTCATCATCACTGTCATCACCATCATCTTCTTCTTCATCATCATCACCATCATCATCACTGTCATCATCATCACCATCATCGCCATATCACCATCGTCATCATCATCACCATCATCACCATCATCATCACCACCACCATCATTACCACCATCATCACCACCATCATCATCATCAACACCACCATCATCACCATCATCATCTTCATTATCACCATCATCACCATCACTGTCATCATCACTGTCATCAGCATCATCATCAGTATAACGACCACCATCATCATCACCATATTTGTGTGTGAATGTGTGTGTGAATATGTTTGAGTGTTTGTTAGTGTGAATGTGTGTGAGTGTGTGTGACTGTGTGTGTGAATGTGTGTCTGACTGCATGAGTGTGTGTGTGAGTTTGTGTGTTTGAGTGTTGTGAGTGAGTGTACACTGTGTGTGTTTGTGAGTGTGTGTGTGTGAGAGGGTGTGTGAGTGTGTATTTGTGTGTGAATGTGTGTGTGAATATGTTTGAGTGTTTGTTAGTGTGAGTGTGAGGGTGTGTGAGTGTGTATTTGTGTGTGAATGTGTGTGTGACACTGTGTGTGTTTGAGTGCTGTGAGTGTGTGTGACTTTGTGCATGTGAGTGTGTGTGTGAGAGTGTGGGTGTTTGAGTGTGTGTGAGTGTGTGTGTGTGTTTGACTGTGTGTGAGTGAATGTGAGTGTGTGTGTGAGTGTGTGTGTGAATATTTGTGTGAGTGTGTGTGTGAGTGTGTCTTTATGTGCTTGTTAGTGTGAGTGTGCGCGTGTGTGTGACTGTGTGTGTGTGTGTGAGTGTATGTGTGAGTTTGTGTGTGAATGTGTGTGTGAGCGTGTATTTGAGTGTTTGTTAGTGTGTGTGTGTATGTGTGTGTGTGTGTCACAGTCATCACTGTCATCATCATCACCATCATCATCACCGTCATCATCATCACCATCATTATCATCATCACCTTCATCACCATCATCATCATCATCAACACCATCACCATAATTACCATCACCATCATCACCATCGTCATCATCATCATCACCATCATCAACATTACCATCATCACCATCATTACCATCGCCATCATCATCATCAACACCATCATCACCATCATCATCACCATCATCAACATCATCATCAGTATAACCACCACCATCATCATCGCCATCATTATCGTTACCATCATCATCATCATCACCATCATCGTCATCATCACATCACCATCATCATCATCATCACCATCATAACCAGCACCAACATCATCATCACCATCATCACCATCGCCATCATCATCATTACCATCATCAACATCATCATCAGTATAACCACCACCATCATCATCATCATCATTATCGTTACCATCATCATCATCATCACCATCATCGTCATCATCACCATCACCATCATCATCACCAACATCATCACCATCATCACCATCGCCATCATCATCATCATCATCACCATCATCACCATCATAATCACCATCATCATCACCATCATCAACATCATCATCAGTATAACGACCACCATCATCATCACCATCATTATCGTTACCATCATCATCATCACCACCATCATCGTCATCATCACCATCATCATCACCATGATCATCATCACCATCATCACCAGCACCAACATCATCATCACCATCATCATCACCA